TGCCTCCTGTTAAGCTCTTATGGCAGCGTCCTATTAAGGTTTTAACACGTCCGGGAGCTGATCTGTTCGTGTCACACGTGCAGAAACACACATGGAGATCTTTGAGTCAAGGTGATGAAGAAAAACATATCTGTCAGTCACGCTGGGAAGGAGCGAGGGCAGCTAATGAGCCACCCTCTGTTGTTGGGTGCTTAATATTTTACATGTTTTCTGTTTGTTTGCTTTGTATTTAAGGCTGGATGGGAGCCACAGCGTCAGTCAGGAAACATGTTATCAGCCTCATGTGGGCGGTGTCATGGTACAAATCCACATTTTGCAAAAGTCACAATTCATAAACATTTACTTGGCGTTCACATAAACTTTTTCTTCTTCTGCAGCTGACAGAGACTCTTCCCTTTTCCACAATCTCACATTCTCAAACATACATTTCAGTTTGTGAAACAGTTCTGGCGACGCATGATGAGCCCGGGGATTATTGTCATAGCCAACCCCAATATTATAGAATTACAGTCAGACAGAGCGACTCCTGGTGCTGCGCGGACAATTACACTGCGGCCTGGATCTCAGTGGAAAAGCTGCATTAGAGAGAAACCTCAGTCTATCAGATGCTGAAAAACAGGGAAGTGTTGGCAGATAATGTGTCAATACCAACCAGAGTAATCGCAGCAGAGGCTCAGAGGGGGTCCGACTCTGTTTTATTAGAAGGTTCCTCTCCAGGAAGAAATTTAACACCAATGGGACATAGGCTCTGGTCGAAGAAACATTCACTCGTTGCCTTTCTTTTAAGAACATAAAAACCATTATTCGATCTATTACTGGTCTCACTCCGGACTCTCTGGGCTGGAATAACCTTTGAAGTTATCTGACAGCGTTCTTCTTCAAAGACTTTTCTCAATCTGCAGTAGCTCTCATTTAAAAAACCACATTTTTGTGTCAGATTTCTGAGGCCAGAACCTACAGGAGTTTGATGGCTCCTTGGCAGCTTCATCCACAGCCGTTTGCAGCGGTGGTTAGCGCTCTGCTGTGGGTGCTTCAGTTCACCGCACAGTCAGCTGCCTCCATCTTGTGGTGAATGTTGTATCCTGCACGAGAGCCCTGCAATATTTTTGAGAATGGCTGGCACGCTGGGATTTGCCACTGAAGAAAAGGCATCTGAAGGTGGCAGTGTAGCTCCATATCTGAGCCCGAGGGCTGCAGGAAGAAACACTAAGTCCTCTGAAAGACTGGGATCTAATATTCAAGGAGGAATCTCTCTGAGGACCTGTGCTCATAAACATGAAGAAATTATAACTCCACGATTTAAAAAAATAAAAGAGAAGTGAGAACGTATAAGACAAAACTGTAGAATAGGTTTATAATAAGTAAACACTGACATTTAAAATCATGTTCATAAAATTCCCAATTCCCAACCAATGTCAAAGCAAATAAAAATGATCATATATTGTGGCTTCAATAGTGATTAAAAGTCAGATCTAGACTGTTCAGAGAGTGAAATGACGAGCTCACGATGCAGGTAACTGGTGGGTGGGGCTGTTAGATCAACACAAGTGGGATCAGCTGAACCCAGTCCTCCTCAGGCGCTGTGAGAGCTGCTGTCTCAGTCCACGCTGAAAGGTTTTCTTTGTGCGTGCTGTGCTTTAGCTTCTTTATCATTTTGCTCACCAACACCAACATTTGATGGAACAGAGCAGCCATTAAAAACATGGAATCCTTGTTATGGATATTTTACTCAATGTAAATATCACACAGCTATAAGTGATACTGTCAGACACTGAAATGAGCCGGATCTGCCCTAAAACTTAAGGGGTTCTTCCCTGGACAACGTCCCATCCCTCCAACAAGTTCAGTGCAAATCAGCTCAGCGCTTTGTGCGTAATAAACATAAACATAAACAAACAAACAAACAAACAAACAAACAAACAAACAAACAAACAAACAAAGAGTGAAAACATAAGTTCTTCAGCAGAGGTACTTTACCATCTTTCTTTCATTAATGCATAAGCAGCTCATGAAGAGGTTTTCTTGTTATTTAATCATCACTTATGCTGTTTAACTTGCAGGTGGAAGTTCAGTCCAGAGACAGTCAGGTGGTCTGAAGTCAGAGTAGTAAGTAAGTTCAAAGTAGACACGCGAATATCGATCTATTAAAACATAACACACTTTTAACACAAATTTTTGCATCATTCTGAAAGTAAAAAGTTCATTTTACAGGCTAATTTGTTGATAATATTATGATATACTACTATAATGACAAGTAAGGAGCGAGCTGTGAGACGAGGGTAAAAGCTCTAGAAAACGCTGGTAAGTGAAGTATGAGTTAAGATGAATTTGTCAAGATGCTATTTCCAAGGTTTTTTTTTTTTTTTTTGCAAACCCAAAATGAAAATCAATCAATAAATCCTGCTTTTTAACAAGTACATCCTGAATGAAACCGCTTTGATGAAAAGATTAAAAGCCAGTGTCATACTTTTCTCCAGACACCTTAATTAGCCAAGAAAACAGGCGTGAAAACTCTTCAAAGAAACTGATATGTTGTGTCTGGCCTAAGGATATTTAACAATATAAACACGTCACGACTGTCGAGCAGTTTTATCCGTCGAGACCTTTTTGACAGTTCACAATATTAATACACGTGCTTTAATTGCCCCCCGTTGGCATTTGATGCATTTAAACAAAAATAATAAGTTGTCTTTGGGAGGCTTCGCAGATGTGATGTCTCAGCTCCACCATGTATATCGTCTTGTTTATATATGAATCTGACTTGCATGTACTGGTTCACATCACATCACCAATATAACGTAAAATGAGCTGATGTCAACATGAAGTTTAATCTATAAATAAAGTCATAAAACATCATAAAAAATAAAAAATAAAAAACAGGAGACGAAACACGGGTCTGCATACTTTATTTATTTGTTTTTATTTTTCATATAAATCTGATGAAGACTTTTACACAAGTTATCACACAAAGTCTTTAGTGTGTGTGTGTGTGTGTGTGTGTGTGTGTGTGTGTGTGTGTGTGTGTGTCTCTAATGCACCAGTTGCTCGGTAACCTGTGTGTAAATCACAGTGACACATGAGGATACACAAGTGAGTCAGAGAAGGCTGAACAGCAGTTCATGTGTCAGCTGTAAAGGACCATCCTGGATATTTTGGAACATTTATTTATTTATTTATTTTGCTTGTTGTCAAAAATATAAACTTTAACAGCATCAGAAAACATGAAACACTTTGAGTAAAGGCCTGTCAATCAGTTTGGAAGTGCAGGTTCCCAGGTTCACTATCCTTTTGCTTAGATTTGAATTATAAATCGTGCCTTTACTTTAAGAGAGATTTGTAGTGTGTGTGTGTGTGTGTGTGTGTGTGTGTGTGTGTGTGTGTGTGTGTGTGTGTGTCTCTGCAGAGTGAGTGAATTATAAGATCTGATCTTAGGGCTGAGTGGGTCAGGTACTGAGATTTGTAGTGAATGTATTATGTCCTCAATTCACCCCCTGTAGTACAGCAATGTGGGCACTGCAGTAAAGAGGAGTTAAACACAAGATGAACTCAGTGTATTTGTGTTTAAAGGTGTGTAATCTGTTCATAGTTATAAAATGTTAGTGATCATTAACCATTAAATTCATGCAAAGCATACAAACCTCCTCTATTAAAACCAATGAACCGCAGCTGAAATAATCAACGAGAGTAATTGTCCTTAATTCATTTCCATTAGGTTTTCATGTTGTAGCATGGATGGACAACATCAAACATTAATCACGCCTTAATGTTATGGTGTATAATCACTTTATGGTCTGTTGGGATTTGTCAGTTTTGTGGGTTCAGCGCTTCGTAAAATTGGGCTTCTGTTGACATTTTTAAAAACTGCATACACAGTCCTGGAGACCAGGTTCACTGGAGCCCAGGGACCCACTGATATAAAGCGAATAAAAGGTTTATAATTTACACACTTTACATGGTGATCAGTTAAATATGCGCCGACTGAAACAGCAACTCGTCCCTCAGTGTAAAAGGTCTTTCTGTCTCACAAGGTTAGGACAAGTTCAGTCAGTGTGAGGATGCAGTTTGACAGTGTGACCATAGAATACAAATAATGAAAACTTCTTTAATGAGACTTTATCATTGGGTTCGTTATGTGTGTTTGGCATTTCATTCTTATATTTATTCATTTATTTATTCATTTTAGCTACAGAGATGAATTTGAATGAGGAAAATAAGAGAAAGAAAAGGAAACACAATTTTGGAAACAAGTTTTTACCTTTGTGAAAAGTTTGTTACTGAGGTGGAAAAAGTATATAAAAAAGTAAATGATAGGACAAACATGACAGTATCCTGAAATGATCAAACTGACTCTCATCACCCAAAATAAAATATTTTTCAGATCTCACTATGTTCAACTTCCCAAAAAAAAAGTTTAAGGATCATTGTATTTTCCATGAATTATATCAGATCCAATTATGTGACAGATTTTTTATTTATATTTCATCATTAACAGCTACAGTCTAATTCTACATGATGTAATAAGCTTAAATCACACTTGTGATTTCAGTGTCTTTTCATCAGATTAGCAGAAATAACTAAACACAGGAAACCAGTGTTTATATAATTTATTGTTAGTGTTATTATTGCAGCCTGAGTCAGGTGTGCTGTTTGTGGACTGAGGTGAAATGATCACAGCCTCGTTCCCTCTGAGAAAACCCGCGCCCAGCAGGAGTCTGTTGTGTCTCTCCAGGAGGTTTTGACAGGGGAAACATTTGGGAACCACTGACCCAGTCTCTGCTGAATGAGCGAGAACATGACCACACCCCCTGTTCCTCCGTGTGTGTCTATTGGCTGTTGGGAATTATCCGCTGCCTGGATGTGGCCACTGTCAAGGGTTTATACTATTAAAACTCCCCAAACTCCACCGTCCTCCCCGACACTTGTTGCTGCTACCTGCTCACCACCGGGAGAGGACACCTGAACCGCTTCAGCATTTCCTTTGGGATTTCCCGCGGGGAGTGATGAACTCCATCGACCCCCAGTCCCATCACCAGCACCAGCACCACACCTCCCCTACCGTCGGCTCTCTCCCACCCAAAGGCGCCCAGGAGGCCCCGGACATGGCCGCTGTCTACTGCGACAACTTCAGCAGCATGTACCACCAGCAGAGCCTCCAGGGCGCGCAGAGACCCGCCGGCTACGGCCTCGGGGAGTACGCATCGTCTCCAAACCCGTACCTGTGGCTCAACGGGCCGGGCGTCAACTCCTCCGCGTCTTACTTGCACGGCAACAACCCGGCGTCGTTCATCCCGCCCTCCTACGGCTCGCAGCGGCAGTTCATAACAAACTCACCTGGATTCGGTGGGCCAGACCTGGGCTGGCTGTCCATCGCCAGTCAGGAGGAGCTGCTGAAGCTGGTCCGGCCGCCTTACTCCTACTCCGCGCTCATAGCCATGGCCATCCAGAACGCGCACGAGAAGAAGCTGACCCTGAGCCAGATTTACCAGTACGTCGCCGACAACTTCCCGTTTTATAAGAAGAGCAAAGCCGGCTGGCAGAACTCGATCCGGCACAACCTGTCTCTGAACGACTGCTTCAAGAAAGTGCCGAGGGACGAGGACGATCCAGGTACCGTGAACGCACCAGGGAAAATGTTATTATAAATAATACGTGGCGTTTATGTTCAGTGTAGTCACCTGGAAGTCTTAGTGAGGCTGAATTAGATGTGAAATTAATTGAGCATGAATTAAACTGACTTTCTGTCTTCAAAAGAATTTTTTTTTTATTTATTATTACACTTAATTATTGTTCATAGAGCCTCAAACTTATCCTGAGAGTGGTCAAATAAGTCTTACCAACACCTGACTCAAAATAATAATCATTTTCTCTAAAAGTCCTGACATTAATTGATGCTGTGTGGTAATTTATTTAGAATTTATAGTCAACCACAAGTGGTTAAAATTTGAGACAGGTAAATAAGCCAACTAAAAAATAAATAAATAAAAAGAAATTCCTTTCAATTCAAAGTCATAGAATTATTCTAAAAATATTTAAAACAGCAGAATAAAATAACAAGGTGTTATTAAAATATATATTTTAATTTTCTATAAATAAACCTTGAATTTTACACCATTCTATTTCTACAAAATAATACATCCATTGTACTTAAACATGATTTGAATATTGTTTTTAATTGTTTAATTGTTAGTTCAGAAAGGTGTTATTTATTATTATTGTTCCTTCAACCTCCAGAGAGTCCAATAATAAAAGAATATAATGTTCAGAATGAGCCTCCAGGAAACAGACAGAAATATGAGATAAATGTTAAAACTTTGTAGATTTAGATTTGAAAACATGGGACAGAAGTTTGTTATAACAGAGAGAAATTGTTTTATTTATTTATTTGTAGAGACATATTTTGTCACAAAAAGGCAGAAAATAGGTAAAAAATATTTGAAAATAATTTATTTTATTTTGACAATATAATTTCTATATAACAGGCCCCAAAATATCCATCAGGTGAAGCAACATTCAAATATTTGATTTTCAATATGTCATGTGTCTCATCTTCAATCACAGGAAAAGGAAACTACTGGACGTTGGACCCAAACTGTGAAAAGATGTTTGACAACGGAAATTTCCGCAGGAAAAGGAAAAGACGGTCAGATCCGAGCAGCGCAGGTGGAGCGGCGGCGGCGGCGGCGGCAGTCGGGGCCACAAAAGTCGAGGACGGCAGGGCGGCGGTGGCGGCCTCCCTGAAGCCCTCGGACAGTCCTCAGCTCCTGGGACCGTCCTCTCCGGAGATGGAGGCGATGAACGAGAACCACAAGAGCTCGTCCTCATCATCACCGCCTGAACTGGCCTCGTCCGCTCCTTGTTTTAATAACTTTTACAGCAGCATGTCAACACTCAGCTCGGGGGGCCCCAGCCGGCAGGGGTCCCTGGGACTGGTGAACGAACTGTCAAATAGGAACATTACGGCCCTGAGCCCGTACCACCCCAACGCCGGTGGACAGGACACAGGGGTGTCAGAGCACAGCGAGGGTTTGCATTTCAACCGTGGAGTGTACTACAACACGTTTGGCAGCGGGCAGAGCGGACAGTTCAACAGCCACTTCTACAACAGCTTCAGTGTCAACAGCCTGATTTACCCCCGGGAGGGGACTGAGCTATAGGAGCTGCTGCACCACAACCTCACACTCTTTTAGGGACTTCCTGCTTCGTGAATCCCCCCTGAAAAAAAACACACACATGCACACATTACGATACGTGCATTTCAGCAGAGAGGCCAGAGTGCAGGTCCTCGAGGTCGCGGCTTCTCTTCATCATGAACGCAACACTCCCCTCACCGATCGGCTCCCACGAGAGATCAGAGAACATAAAGTATTTTAGCTACGCTTGATTTAACTTGACAAGTGCCCTGAGATAACTGCTGTTGTGATTCGGCGCTGTATAAATAAAAATTGACTTGACTTGACAAGCACTCAAACTGTGGAAACACCAGACGGAAAGTCAAACAAAAAATTAGCACTTATCTTTTTTTACTTCTTTATTATTTCTATATTAAAGCTCCTACTTTGCTCTTAATGCTAAAAATATATTTGCAAAGTAAGACAACCACTGAAAACTTGTATTTTTTAAAAATATTTTAAATGTCTATTTTACTTTTTCTGACAGTTTCAACAGAAACGTTCCCAAGTCTTATTGTCACAACTACTTTTGTCGTGTTTAAGATGTAAATGTACATTTGATATCGTGCCACTTAAGCCAAATCCAGCCCGTATTCCCTTTGGAGCAGCTAAATTCTCCCAGTTGATTTACACATGTTGTCGAAACTGTTCATTCATAATCAACACCAATCTGCCAAAGTTGCCTTTGTGAGACCGCCATTACCTCAAAACAACAACCACACGAGACGAGCGCGCCCTGCTGTGAAGGGTTCACCTGCATATTCAGACAGTTTGTTTGTTTGTTTGTTTTTTTTTCCAAATGCAGCAATAATTGATTTAACACAAATATATGATCCGAAACAGGGCTTGCCTTATTTTTTATATCCTCCATGTCGACTGAAACCACAGCACCAAGGCTCATGTAAATACTTTATAAATGTGTATTTTTGTAAATTATAAAGATAGTTTGAGACTATTTATGCTATTTATGCTAATAGGCATTTTTTTTCTACTATTGTCTGAACATAGTTTGATTAAAGCAGAAGTGAATGATAATAGCTTACGAAATGTGCCGAGAACAGTATCACTACAAAAACCCAGATGTCATAAATATATATTAAAACTATATGCTGTGTCATGGTCTCTCTCAGGATTCAACGTGACAATCATTGAATGGCTTTTGTATCTATTATTGTCTTTTTTTTTTTTTTTATCTTTATACCGTACATACAGCTTACAGGCAGTTTTCAACTGTGATTATAAATAAATATCATGTGGTCTCTATTGTATTGTCATGCATCATTTTCAAATAGGGCATCAGTGTATTTGGTATTACTTCATTATAATTTGAATGCAGATTGACTTTAATCTCGTATTTAATTACTTCCACTCCATTTCATCTCAATGCAGCCTCTTGCCAGTTCCATAAAAACAACAGAAGCATCCGCGCAGCGTGTAGTTGTGTTTCTAGAGGTTAAACTGTTCTCCAGACGCAGCTCGTTCACAGATCATTCTCACACAACCTTCAGTTCATGGGATTTTTTAACCCATCGTATCGGACTACAAAACCCTGGCTGCAGAATTAAAGCACGAAGATTTGAATCGGTATTTCCTATTCTCCTTGCTCGGTGCATGGTGCCAAATTTACTTTTCACTTTAGTGATTCAAGTTCACGTCCAACTAAAACAGAATTAATCTACCTGTCTCCTTTACTCTACGGAGTCAGCTTCTCTTCCTGTCAGATCAGAGATTAGTGCTGCGGAGTAATGCTGCTCTCAGTAGACAATCGTGTTGCTGAAAAACATGCAAATCGTCTTTTGCAGTTTGTTTAATTTTGTTTTCTGTTGCTGGGAAGTGGGACCGTTGCCCAGCTACACTGGCTGACCCCCAAAACTCAAACCTCATCTGTCGGCACTAATACCCTCTTATGAATCTAAGCAGGTCAAAAAAAAAAAAGATGCCGCAAAAATTTTTGTAAACATGAACAAATGCTTTATTTTGAAGGTTGGTAGTTTCCCTATAATTTCCTTGGAAGTTTTCCAGAGGGAAACATGTTTCCATAATTTATAGTCAAAATGGGGACAGTGTTAAAATGTTATAATACTTTAAAATGTATTGCATCCTTAATCAAGGAGTCTTTTAGTTAGTGCACAGGTGACACGTCAGTTTAATCTGCAAAATTTAGATTTTTCTTCTACAAAGAAGTTTATAATTCAACATGCATGGAGAACAAAGATATAAATATAATTCATAATATTTATTTGGGTTTAAAGGGAAGTTTTCATTCAAGTAAAATCCTGTTTTTCCGACAATTAGAATCTGTGTTACCTTAAAATCTGATATACTTCTATTTATCAATATTCTGTTTATTGTTCTGATATTCTGTGTGTGTGTGTGTGTGTGTGTGTGTGTGTGTGTTTTATTTAAAAAGAATTTTAAAACTTTACAGATTACATCCTCAAATCTGGTAAATGGTTCAAATCACTTCTCAGTCCCTTCCTTAGAGGATACTCTTAAATGTGAGTTTATCAGCAGTGAATGAAAACCGCCTGCTCCCATGTCACACCTCGAGTCCTCCGGTGACGCAGACGCAGGAAATCTGACGGGAGAAGCTTCGGCAAAATCAAGAGAGAAAGTTCAAGTTTGGAGGTGAGCCAAGCTCCCTGCAAAGACACCGCAGTTGACAGACGTCTTGATTCAGAAACCAGTGAAACAATAGAGCTATTGTCCACGGTCCTTCACGCCAATCCGCATGTATCAATTAGGGACTCTCTGAAGATATCCCCCTTAGACCGACTGGGTTTAAGCATCTCTTTTGTCTCCATTCTCCGGCAGTGTTTGCCCCAAATTAAGAGGAGGCCATCTTGCTTTGTTCCTGTTAAGAAACGACGCATCAAGAAATTCCCTCTGCAAATATTTGCCACCCATTGTGCAGATTAGGGACAATGATTTGACCATTTATTTAGTTTTCACTGTGTACGATTCACACCAGGCATGTGTTCAAGGTACTTAAGTGTTATGCTGTGAAACTGATATGATAGCACTTTCCCAGCATCTCGGATTTGTCCCTCGGGGGAATTTAAAAAAAAAAGAAAAGTGAATAATTATGGGAGCGAACACAAACTCATTAACTGGTAAACAATGTGTAATGCAGCGTCGTCTTTGTCGTGTATCACCACGTATCTTTACAGCTGTTGAAAGTCTGTCACCTCCTGCCATGAACTCGTGTAGTCCTTGTTTAATTAAGCACACTATGATTCCTGCTACATACTACTAGCCTGCTAATTAAAGCCTATGAATTTAGCTCTTCATAAACACCCCTTCGTAGCCAAAGAGTCATACTGCTGCGGCCCAATCTGCCAGTATGGATCAGTCAACACGTACTTTATCTCTCCGGTAGGAATATGTCTCTTCATCTGCCTTCAGCGCCTCAGTGACTCCTAAACGACAATCTGATGACCCAGATCTGACTGTAGAGGTCAAACTCAGTTTTGCGCAGGCATTTCCAAAACTTTTCCACTCTGGCAAACTTCACCAGCACTTTCCGGTGAATGAGGACGCTCGCTGCCAAGTGTGAACTTCTCTATTAGAGGAGATCCACTGACCCAGGCTCTGTTTGATCACCTTCTTTTGCGCCTGGAACATCGTACACCCCGTCCTAATTTGGCACCCGCACCGCACTATCGGGTGACATTTGAAAAGCAGCATTGTTGGTCCGGGCTGGGAAGCGGGTTGAACACGGGACCGTGGGTGCTATTTCAAGGGGTGACTGTATACTGTAGGTTCATGTCCTAAAACAACCCCATAGGACCCCTACAAGCCAAATTGTTCCTCAGATAATGGACGGGGGAAGAGGTGACGCCTCGCTAATGAGAAACATCTTGAAGGGAGCGCAGAAAGCAACTTGTCTGCGTTGCCAGCATGTTTCACGTGAAGGGCTAGAGATCAACCTCATCAAAGATCTCTAACTGTGATGTTAAATAAGGACAGCAGAGTGATGCTGTGTCAGGCGGGTGGCTCATGCCAGTGTCCTCAAATGATCCACAAGGACAAACCCGAATTTTTTTGGGATATTCCTCGAAGTTTTGTTTGACAGGGATCTTCAAAAATGCAATGTGCAATGTATAATACAGTATCTTAGGCACTGGTACAGTGCAGAGCATATTTTAAAGTGCCGGTGCACTCGTCGGTCCTGCAGTGTCGGAGGGAGGAGAGGCGCAGCATCCGAAGGGTGTTTAGAGTCCTGAAGCTGTTGCTCAAAGTTCACTAATCCCTTTGCACGAGCAGCACACTCATTATCACCTATCCAGTCAGTCTGTTTACCAAAGATTTACAGAAACTACTCTAGAGGAAAAAAAAAAAAAATTGACAATGGTGAGTCAAGCTTTTTGGCTTTCAATCTGGGTCACCAGACGTCAACCTCACCCTTCTGTAGGCTTGAAGTTTTTCTTCACTGTCAATTTTCCAGTCATCATACACCGTCAGTAAAGCCAGAAGGAACTGAGACAGTACAGACTTAAAATTTCAAAAACACACAATGTACTTCAACAGTAAGTTGTGGACAGTGGTGGAGGCAGCATTAAGACCCTTTACTTAAATAAATAGATTATTACCATATTCTAAAAATATTGCATGTAAAAGTGCATGTAAAAAAGTTTTTTTTTTTAATCCAAATGTAGTTAAAATATCAAAAGTAAAAGTACTTGTTGCAGGAGAGGATGCAGCGCTATCATATGTTACAGTATTGTTCATGTACGTGCGATGTTCACTTCACCTGCCTGTGTCTGATGTTGAGCATTAACTGTGAAAACATAAGAAAACAGTGATGTGGAAGATGTGTAAGTGAGAATGAGAGATTCGGGGGGGGGGGGGGGGGGGGGGGGGGGGGGGGGGGGGGCATCTTGATGGGTACTGTCTGGGAAGGAGTTTGAAGTTGGGGGAGCGGGGAGGGTTGATGGTGGGGTGGCTCGGGGGGGTCCTGAGTATGATTTGATCCTGGAAGGCTCAATTAAGTGGTTCGTTTACCCCTCGTGTGGAGCTGGTGAATTGGAGCCAGGTCAGCTCCGGGTTGAGGTGTTGTTCATTATTTTTCCGCCTGTCGGATC